CACGCAATAGTTGTCTAGTAATTGCAATATATCGAATAGGTACTTTAGGGCTGTATAGTTTAAGCGCTATTTTTGCATAAAATATAATTGTTTTTTCTTTCAGCGATTAATATGTCAGTCATGTTTATGTAGTAGTAGTCAGAATACTCAAACGTTACTCAATTTTAAGTCCCGCTTAAGTATAGTTCTGTCTCCACATTTTTTTTGTAAAATGACAGAGATGGCACGATATTTAAGCACGACCTAAAATTGAGTAACATTTCAGTATTCCCACAAGAATGTTTTCACTAGTCGTATTAGTGCGATAATTAAGTGGGAAATGTGTGGATATTTCCAATTGTTTTTGTAGTTTTGATGTGCTCTTGTCGATTTCCATTTTGCACCTTTGTACGTGCGCCGCTCGCGCCGCCATCTTGGAAAAATGGTGGCAAAAACAGTTTCTGTACAATATCTTTTTCCCTGTGCATTTTACGAGAAAACCGTCAGCTTTGAGAATATCCGATTCTAAACTAATACTACCAAAGTACTGAACTATATGTTTTTATATTTTTTCAAAACCAATCTGTCATTGACGACTCGAAAATCGAACTTTTTGTCCCCACAACTAGTGATTCCTAAAATTCTATACAACTAAAATAATAGCAAAGCATTCATTTTTAAAAACCACACAACTCCCTCCCCCACCACACTTCACAGCCCGCAATTTCAATATATTTACCCCACTCCTAGACTCACTAACAAACCTGTTGGGTCATGTACCATAAAACAAGGTTATCAAAACGCCATAATTAAATTTACCGACCAGGGTAAATGCATTCACGGATAAACCGGGTACACACAGGGTGTACAAACATGTCACATCATGATTTAGTGTTGTTTGCCTGAAAGCTACAGCTGAAGTCTATTCAGCATATACAGGGTGAATTGTGACTGTTTCTGTGCTTATTATTGGTTTTAGGAAATCTATTTAACCGTATTGTTGGTTGGGCGATTGAAAGTATGACTGCCGGTTTCGGTTCCGATGCCCAGGTTGTACAAAGAGATATAGATTTATGTCTGTGACTGGTATAATTATAGCAATAAGGTCATCCATTTTGACATGGCAGTCATAAATATATACAAGTAAAAAGTGAGTGGTACATGTCCACCCCTGCTTACCCCCACCTTTGTTAGTTTATCAACTTTACATACAATAAAGTATTTATTACATAACACAACGCCTTTTATTTTATCCCCGAAGGAGAAGGCAGCGGTGTATATTATCCTACTGTACAATGTAACACCCACTTTTCACTGTTTATATTATGAGTCCCATGTAATAGGGAATGAGCCTATTGCCATATACCGGGCACGATTCCACAAGTATTTATTATTTTTCTGTAATATAGTTTCAAGAATTGAACCTCACTTTTCATGGATGTCACATGTAAAACTTTCAACGGGACATAATAAAATACGCGGATTTCCTAAGAAGTTGAAATTATGATAATAAATAAAATTGTTGGCCTTATTTCATTACACAAATTTGTTGTAAGGCCTGAAAAGCGTTCTTGGAAAACGTGATTTCAACGGAAAATAATATTTGTATAAAGTTTTCATCTTATTATAAACTAACTGTTGCCCGCGACTTCGTCCGCGTATAATATGAATTATAAATCGTAACGTTCTTATGTTTCAATTTTTTAAATAAAAGTATCCTATGTCAAAGTCAAAGTCAAAAACAAAATCAAAATAATGATTTTGATTTTGTTTTTATAAAATAATGATATTAAATCAAAATAATGATTTTGATTTTGTTTTTCCGTCGGATTGAAATCATTATATCTATCTATATATATCTATTCTACAGATCAGTCTAATTGAAATACATTTATTTCAATTAGACCAGGAAGGCACTTTTGAACGTCAAAACAAAATATTTAAATATTAAATAATGAGAAAACATGTCAGTCTGTAGGTCAGTCCTCTAGTGAAGCTATTCTATACTAGTATGTTACTTCTTAATACACCTGCCAGTAAAAGTGCCGTCAAAATTGGTCCAGCCAATTCAGAGATTAGCCAGTACAAACAGACAAACAGATTAAAAAAGCCCAAAAATAAAAAATAAATGTTTTATTTTTCGTTAAATGTATATTCATAAGTACGCATGTAGTAGAAAACAGTTATTTCTAAATTTTAAAAGCAGACTACAATGTTATTTAGTTTATTTATATAATACTAGCTGTTGCCCGCGTCCTCGTCCGCGTAGAATATGATTCCTGTTTTATCTTATGGGAGCATTTAATCGGGATAAAAGTATCCTATCACCTAGGTCAGTCCATACTCTGCCTGTATACCAAGTTCATCAAAATCTCTTCAATAGTTTCAGCGTCATTGACGGAGAAACATCCAAACAAATAAACATTTACATTTATAATATTAGTGTAATTAACTACACATGGCATTTAAGACTATTATTACAATTCTAATTGTGTTATAACTGAGATATTACAGTTATAAGGAAGGCCTCCGACGTACGCCCACTCGATTTTACGTGGGCCCAAGCAACAGTGTATCCATTCAAATTAAACGATGAATTGTGAGCAATTATAACATTAATTACTATTGTATAACTTTGTTATAGTAATTTAGTATATCGGTAAAACGTATACAATTAATATTGTGGGTGGAAATTAATAGGTTTTCGGATGTAGGTAAGCATATTTGACTGTGTAAATATGATTTGATTAACAACTCTTTAAATACTATAGTTCTCTTATAAACAAGGAGATTTTTTGTAACTGCACTGACTGCCTCGTTGGCTAAGTGTTTTCAAGTGCGGCAGGGGGTGTCCGGATCGATTACCGGGTCAGAAAAAACATTACTGAGGTTTGTAAAAATTCTCAGTTGTAGAACGGAGTCTGTACTTGTGCCCGGTATATGGCAATAGGCTCACCCCCTATTACATGGGACTCATAACATAAATAGTGAAAAGTGGTTGTTTATAGAGTGAAAAGTGGGTGTTACATTAAACAGTGGCAATAAGTGCCGTAATGTACACCTCTGCCCATTTCGGGGATAAAAGGCGTGATGTTATGTTATGTAGCTTTCAGTAGAGCCAGAGAACTAGAGAACCTCGCTTGGCGAGCAGGTTGGAGATCAAGTTTAAAATGGTTAAGGTTTAATAGACGGTCTCATTTTAACTCGTCGAGTACCGTCAATATAGACACAATTATAGAACAATAGGTTGCGGTCACCGGTGACCGCTTGGTGTTTGACAGTTTAAATATAGTTCATTAGTCTTACGACAACAATGGAATGAATAGAGGTCATGTAACATTGATTGTGCTAAGCCGTCATTATTCGGCTTAGAAATGTGTTATGATTTGACAAAATATGGTTTATCAAATCATAACATATTAAATGCGAAGAATAACATGCATGATCTGCTGTCTGCAGAATAATATAAGTTATTTTATTGCTCCCGTACGACAGGAGCAAATCTAAACTCGAATAAAACTTTAAACTTTAAAAATATAATATGAGTTTGAGTGCCCATAAAAAATTAGAGTAATTCAAACACGATAGTGTCGTGTTTATAAAATTTTTAACATAAAATTTTCCAGATTATAAATTAAAATTATATAGCACACGATAACTAATCTAACATCAACGTACGTGCCGAATCGACCCCTAACCTCTTAGCCACGAAAACTTTGCCATAAAAGAGAAACGTCAAAAGATTGACAGGTCGCCATATTGATTAAACTCGCCATGTACACACAACGACATCTCAACCTATACAAATCCAGTATAAACTGACCGTCGCTTGTGCGGAAAGCTCATAGAAATCGAGACCATAATAACCTGGATTTGTATAGCTTGTATACAGGGTGACCTTTAGGCATTTGATTACTCCATCAAAAGCAGTAATTGTTTAACCACCCACGATAAAGGAAACAACCTATATATGGTACGATTTTCATTTATTTTATGCTTAAATTGGCACGAAGGAACCGTATTGCTGTGGTAGGTTACTGATTTGGGATTATCAACTTTAGTACTTTAAGAATAAAAGTGTAAAATGAAGTGATGCGTTGAAATTCCTGAAGATGTAGATATCAAAACGTACCCGTAAGTGAATCTGTTTCCTTGTGTTAAATTAATTACTTATGTAGTGATACTATTGGAGATAAAAACCCCAATGGTTGTTATGTTTTTTGCCCATATCGACTTCAAATACGAAAACTGGCTCCGTTTGTTTTTTCAAAAATACAAAACCTCGTTTTTAGCATGAGAACTGAATAAAACAAAACTGTATTCATGAATATGGTACATAAACAATAAAAGTAGAATGCATGTTTCATGAAACATGTTATTTTTCTACGCAGTTGAGCAAAAACACGAACCGGTTTATTCATATTGCAGACAAACTTTTACGTATCAAAACTGAAAAAGTAATGATTGGTATTATTTATTGTGTATTTTTCTAACCTAAAAAGAAAATATCAAAGTTAGAATAGAAACTAAGAAAGCAAGAAGGACGAACTCCATTTTGATCTTATAAAGAAGAACCGATTTTTCAATTGTCAGTTAATTTTTAACTGTATAATAAAATTCACATTTGACAATTTTTATTATTAGTTTAGTTATTCCTCAGTTAAACTCAACTGGCTTAGAAAAATCAGCCTTAAGACTCCAAAAAGATTTTATGTGAGGTCATAAATCATCTAACAACTGAAATTACAAGTGGAATGCGGTCACCGGTGACCGCTCTCCATTCGCTTCACTATAGACCTTAATTCCGAAGTTTAGATACTACTTTTGCATGAACAAATGTTGTGAATTTTTCGTACAATAAATCAAGTAACTAACAACCAATTAATAATGTAAAATATCAGGATTGATCTTTAGGTTTTTGACATAAATTCCGTCCATGAAATTTCAAAAACTGATCTTAATTCAACGATTTAACATTGAGATAGACTTATGGCGGCTATATTAAAAAAAAAATCACTAACCTGTTAACTTGGGTATTGGAGGTGTAATTGGAGCAGCAGCAGTTGTCGCCGTGTTTGGGGGATATACGGGATCGCAGCATTCTCTCTCCGGGAACTCGCTCCCTCCCACCCGAGCCACCAGGAGTACCACCACACCCACCAAGGACCATATTCCACTCAACCTGATACACCCACGAGACATCGACGAAGGATTTAAACCACAAACACCTCCTACTTTCGAAACACTGGATTTTACAACTAACCAAAATGGTTGACTCGCTGTTTTTCGTGCGTTGTTGCAAGAATTCAAATTTCGAACGAACGAATTCGAATTTAGTGTTGGCGCGTAGTTTTCGAATTCAGAATTCCGTTTCTCGAGAGACTGTCGTAACTGACATTCGCTATCTCCTTCTATCTCGCTTTGTTTTTGCACTTGAACAGATGTTTCGGTCTCTTTTTCACCCCCCACCGTAATTCTTTCATTATCATCGCAGATGTCCTTTTCTTCAGTCATCTGACACTGATTTCACATCACACTTTTGAAAATGTTAATATCAATTTTTCTACTTAATTTTAATGATATGTATTGATTACATCCGTCGCCCACTTAGCTCATAGATACATAATTGACTTTTAATTTCGCACGGAACTTACGCTCGATTTTTTATTGTATAATAATTTGTAATAAATATTTGTATTTATTTAAATCTGGAAGGAAGAAGACAGCAATGATAAAGAGTAGAAAAAAAGAAACAAATGTAGTATTAAAATAAAATATAAAGAAATTTAATTCCACAATCACTCTTCAAAAATATCTATAATAGGATCTTGAAACATAGTTACATAATTTTCTCATTCATAAACCATTTGGGCAGGACTCCGCAGGACCCATAATTCTTGTGCGAGAGATTATAAAAAGTTTAAACTCTGTGTGTAAGCGCTCTGAAGTTAAGGGGGCATTAAACAAATTGAATTCTTAATACGCTATTTAACTTTTTGTTCAAAATCCTAACGCATATTACTTTTGTACGTCGGTACTTTGAAAACTTCTTCTATTTTCGACAAAATTTCATTAAATGGCCGAAAGAAATTTTTTTCTTGCGTTCTCCAGTCATTCCCTTTTGTTTCGTGTTGAGATGTGATAATTTATTTTAATTGTAATTCTTAAAAAACATTTTTTGCTTTCATTTTTATTTGAAGTCGGCTCCGAAGATTGTTCTTTTAATAATGTCTCGTATTTTAGTAAAAAGACGTGATTTACGAGTTGTGCAAAGTTGGCTAATGAGTAAGGATTTTTCGAATGTTTGTTTCTTGATTTTTTTGTTTTTCGTAAGTCGAATGCGTATTTGGTTTTTACTGTTAATGTCTATTTGTTCTGTCGTCCAATGTTCAACCATTTAAATAATTATATTCTAAACTGCGTTTATTTTTAAAACCGATTTCTGTTTTTGAAGTCGGAAAATTAACATATATTAAACCATTCTCCTATGTGTAACAAAGATTTTTCTGAAAACTACATCAAAATCGGATCAGCCAATTGCGTTGTAATCGCGCACAAACGTAGACACATACATACAGGGCAAATTGAGACATATTTAATATGTTAAATATTTAATTTTGTTTTATTTGTAGATATAAAAAAACAACCATTAACACCAATAAAGTAACTACTGAATAATGGAATATAACACTTTATTAAAAACCAAAAAATCTATTAACAATCTCCTTAATCGTGAAAATACACATAGCTCCATAAACTAGTTACAAGTTTCCGAACAAATAAAGAAAAAACAAACAAAAATCTAAACTCACGTCAACATTCATAAATCCTCCTTTGACAGCTCTAATCTGGCCAGAGACAATAATTAGTCTATGGACGCGTGCGTGCGTGCAACGTCAATAACATTCAATTTGCCCGCCATAATTGAATATTCTGTCAAATTTGACGGCTGCAACTGTGTTAGTGTCAAATTGAAAAGATAGAATGAAAAGTTTTGATGTTTCGAATTGGTATATTAAAAAAGTTATTTGAATTGCTGATGGTAATATTGAATTGATAAAATACAGAATTTTTTATTTATTTATATATTTCTGCTTGTTATGTATTGTGTACTATTTTTTCAGTTAACTTTATGTTATTATACACCTAATAACGGTCAGTTATCCAAAGTAATAGCCAGAATTACTATTTTCTTAAACCAAATATATTTGGTTTTATTGATTCAATCTCAAAATCTAATACACTTTTATTCAATAAATTAAATTTTAGTTTTTGGCTTTGTTTTATTTAATTTTTTCCAATCGTTTTATTGTCGCTTAAGTATGTAATAGTTTTATTTTATTTCAGTTTACATTATTTTTATTATTGGCATGAAAAAAAAATTAATAGCTGTTGGTCAGTTTTAGTAATTTGATTGGTAAATATATTTGCAAGACTGAATGTATATTAAGTCCGAAAACAAATAAAAATAATACTTTAAAACACTTCTATTAACCACAAAACCGAATAAAATAAAAAACGAAACGCTATCATATAACTATCTTTATACAACATCTAAAACCCGGCAAAAGGCCTTAAAATATTTAAGATTAACAATGAAAATAATAAAGTGTTTTGGTCCAAAGGGAAGGTTCCTGAACGTTCAGACTATAGTCAAATGATTTCTTTTGAACATCAAGCCTAACTTCAGCAATTAGCCTGGGCAAGTCATAACTGAGTTTGTGAGTAGGGCTGCCCCTTGTTCTCAAATATAATTCAAGTGACTTCGTCTTGTTTTTCGATGTTGGTTTGTAGGTTTAGTGTGGTTTTGAGTTTGATGCTAGGTATTGAAGTTTTAGCAAGTTAATTTAGGTTTATGAGTATATACAGTTGCTTCTTATAAAAGTTCTTTATACTCGATGGATTTTATCATTGCCAATAATAAGATTCTGTATATGTATGTATAACTGAGTTTTTTTTAGCTTAACTAAAACATTTTGTACGAATAATACGGTTAAGTATTCGCTAGTTAAAGGAACTGAAATCTAACAAGAGGTTTTGATGTCTAAAGATCTTAAACTACAAATATGATTTAATAAAATCCAAGCAAAGTTCTTTGACCTCTCAAATCACTTTCAAGTAAGTTTCTACTCAAAATTGTTTTTATTTAAAATTTGTATTTATCTTAACAGCCCATTATAAATGTTCAAACAAATCACGCACCCAATTAAACAATAAGTTGACAACCCTACGACATAAAGCCGAAAACATTTAATTTTCTTTAGATTATGCATAAAATTATAATTTCGTTTTCACCCCAAAATTGATAGATCTTGCCCAACTTAAGTGCTAAGTCGGCTAAAATATTAAAGTTTGAATCACGAAATAATTTTCAAAGTCGACTTTCGTAGTAATTATTAATCGATGTTCTGTTGGACTTTGTTGAGGTTAACTAATGACGTCTTGTGTCATATTATTGATAACATTTTCGAATACGTTTTAAACAGAGACAGAGATCTATATACAATTAAATTAATATGACTGCATACTTAGTGTAGGGTCAAATATTTTTTATGCAATTGAGGCAAACGAGCAGACGAATCACCTGATGATAAGCGATACCGCCAATACCAAGGAGTCACAAGTACGTTACCGGCTGTTTATTAAGGAATTCAAACACAGAATAATGCTTTGTGTGATCCAAAAAATGTTGATTAGGGTCTAGGTGTGATGTTTGTAATTGTACTCACGACACACATCTTAATACGTGGTAACGTTAAAAAAACTGATATCTACTTTTTGTAGCGCGACTTCGCCGCGACCGCGCCCTCTGCTCATGAGGAAGAGTCCCTCTGTGACTCGAAACTAGTAGAGCCTTTCTCGGTATATTTACGGGAGTAACTCGTTATTTTTAGTGTGCCTTTATGCTGGTTATATTATGACAAATTATAAACCTTTTAAGCACACACGGATCATCATATCCTTCGATGTCCAGTTTTGAACAAAAGAATCCAAATAATAATAATAAAGTGATAGTTTAACAATTTACGTTTTAGCACTAGACGTGTGTTAGCCTAGTACTTTAGACTCAGACTAACAAGACAACCTGAATCCACTTAACGTCTAATTATTCAAATTAAATTAATTAACAGAAATAACACTATGAAAAGTTTTCCAAGAGATTTAAAGATTAAAAGATAATCTTAAATTGTTATCTTTTTGAACAATTTATTAAGTAGTTGTTGAATAAATTATGAGGAGAAACTATATAATTTATTCAACCACTACATAAATATATAGGCGAGTGGTATCCAGCATGACTACAAGGCAAAGGGTCTTTTTTGTAAGGGGGAAAATCATCGAATTACTGCTCTCGCCTGGGTGAGACGGGAGGGAGTATCAGACTCTTACTGACTAAAAACCACCCCGTTCCTACTCCTGTCCTACTCCTGCACTTCGAGACGGAGCCCCGGTAACCCGTTAGGTTGAAAGCAAGGGTCTAGGGTTCAATTCTGAAATCAAGCTAATGATTATTGGGGTATTTTAGACTTGGACTTTCACTTGAACAAAAATTTCTGGAATGTAACCTGTAATTGTAACTGGTATATCGCAATACGCCCCTATTACATGGGAGCCCTAACAAGTGATAAATGAAATAGAAATAAGCTCCTCTGTTTACCCCTATAGCGTTTAGGCGTTACATAATATTTACATCGTTCACTCCAAATATAATTTATCGATTGCAAATGATAGATAATGTTCCAATCAATATAAGATTATTTCAGTACTCAGACTGTCAAGGGAATTAAGTAGATTTGAAGTTTTGACAGCTCTTCTACATAATAATAAAAGTTTATATTATGTTATTGACAGTGATGATTGGAGCGATAAAAAATTATTTTAAGTAACATCTAAACCCAAATGAACGTTCACTCTGTATGCAGACAGTTCATTTTTTGTTCATTCGGAGCGGGAATGAATGATGCGGTATGCCAAAATCCAACATCATTGGATCGGTTCTGTACTCTTGTTTCATTCTGAGTTCAGACGTATCATTTTGAGTGAAAGATGACGAATCATAACTTTATACAAGATGAAAAATATGCATGTCTAATAAGACACTCATATTTTTATTTAGATAATGAAAAATATTTTTTTCATTATCTAAATGATAGACTAATTAGATTTTTAATTTTCATACCCTGACAACTACTCTGTTCAAAATAACAATTTTAGC